AAGAGTTGAGAACTTTTTTAAACAGTTGAAAAAAATGACTATTCTATTTGTATATATTTGAAACATATGAAAAATAAAAGTAAACAACAGATAAAATATATTAGTTCTGTTATATAGAGGATGGACATATTATTGCAAACACTTATAAAAAATTTTTTAAAAAAATTGTACATAATAAAATTAGTTAAAATTTTTATAATATATTTATTATATATTAATATATATATGTATATATATAAATAAATAAAGTTATCCTTTTTTGAAAATTTTCTTCCCTTTCTCTTCTTCTGTACAAGATAAAATCCCAAGCATGATGAGTCTGAGATGTGCTGACACCACACGAGGCTTCTCTAACCATTGAGATTCCATATCTAGGAGAAGTAATCATGTTTAGGGAAGCATGAACAGATCAACTTCTGCACATGACAATAGTCTGAGACAAGGACTAGAAAGGTTTTGGGGTAGCCAACCTCTTCCTTGCAAGGCTTTGTGTATGTCTAATAATTACAAATATAAGAGCAGCTTACTCTTTTTTTTTTCCTTTTTCTTCTTTTTCCCTTATCCAAATCCCTTTCCCTGCCGATGAACAGTTTCCCCTTCCCCTTGAAGGTTTTCTTTCTAGGCTTTTCTTTCTTTTACCATTCCATCCTATCAACCCTCTAGTTTGTCATCTCCTTACCTTAACCAAGCTATCAACTTTACTCAAGTCAATGTTTTACTTGCTCAAGAAGTATATACTTCTTCTCAAGATTTCTTCTCTTGTCTTAAAGAGCTTAATACAGAAAAGGTCAACTTAGTTTTACTCTGATTGGAAGATCAGATTCATGAGAATGTCATTGGTCTCATTATCCTAAAAGTTCTAGGCACACCTTTCTATAATCAATAACATCATGTCAAGCCAGTCAAATGTGAGAAGGGGTTGTGAAAGGAGGTAATTTGACTGGCAGCACCAATCATATAAGGATTTGCTTTGCTGAGAGCCTAGACTGCTAACCAGTATGTCAGAAGCATGTAGTTATGAGCAACTCTATCTTGAATACCTGACAATATTACCATTCCACACATTACTCAAGAAGAATAACTACAGGACTGTCTTCTTGTTTTACCTAGCTCCCAAACTTTTCATAACAAAAAACTATAAGCAACTTACCCCATCAAAAGATCGGCGTAAGTCAATCATGCCATATTAGTATCTGAGTTACTAATATGGACAGGATCGGTGATCCTTAATCACATTATTTTTAGCCACATGGTTATACAGGTCCAGGCCACAATCCAAAACCCAAGCACTGCACCATTCTCCACTATTATCATCTATAGAGCACATATGCAGGGTTTACAATACAATTAATAGCTAGCTATTTTTATCTTTTTTTCCTTTTCCTCTACTTGGATTATTAAAGGTTTGCATATGTTAACTTTATTTGCATTAGGCTAGGATTAATCTACTTACTTTGTATATTAGAGATCATTAATGTAATGATGTAAAAACAAAAGTTTAATAAATATTTCACATTTAATGCCTTTTACAAAAAAAAAAAAAAAAAAAAGTAAATAAATAAAGTTATTATTGAAAAAAATTTTTATTGATATTTTTTTTTTCATGACTTTTTTGTGATAACCTCTTTTCTATTTTTATATAGGTGCTAAAAAGATCTTACCGATGTACAAAGAGTAGTTATAATTTATGACTATAAAAATAATAATTCCTATTATACTATTGCAGCTCAAGTTGATTGTAAAAAAACAGCTGTGGATTTAGTAGTTAACAAGTTTTTGAAGACTGGATCAGTTGTATTACAAGCAAAAAAAATTGGATGATTGTTAATTGTTAATTGTAACATTCTTAAAAAGCTTGCTATCAAGAATTGGTGTTTATGCACTGTTAAGTTGAATTATATCTATTATAAAAAAACAAAAAAAAAGATATCAAAAAAGATCATTTGTTATGTTCTTCATAAGAAGCAGCTGAAAAGTTGCATTGCCTATAAAAAACTATTTATCTTAAGCAATAACATTGCAAAACATCTTGCTTGGTATCATGACTACAAAAAATGGACTGTGAAAGATTTTAAAAAAGTATTATAGAGTGACAAGTCCATGTTTACCTAGTTTCAGTAAGCATGAAACTGTTAAGTCTGGCATGAACTAAGTGAAGAATGGAATCTTGACTGTTTGATCACCATTGTCAAACATAGCCCAAGTCAAATATACTGAAGTGTTTTTTCTGGTTCGAAGTTGGTTCTCTAATTTCTTTATATAAGTTGGTAAAGGGTATATATAATATATTTAATGAAGAAATAAATGAAAAAGAGATAGAAAAAAAGATGGATAATAGATAAGAAAAAGGATAAATAAATGAATGAATGAAAGTATGAACAAACGAAGAAAAGGTGGATGGATTAATAGGGGAAGAAAAAAAAATAAAGTAAGGATGAGATATATATAGATAGGCATAATGAAGAAAAAATGATAAAAAAAAAAAGGTGGGAAAAAAAAGAATTAGAAAATGGAAACAAAAAAGTGGAAAAAAAAAGAAATAAAAAATTTTTTAAATTTTTTTTACAGCAGCATTTTATGTCAACATACTTAAAGAATATCTTTTACTGGAAATTGATAATATTCCTAATTGGTTTCACAGCAGCTATTCCATTTTTCAGCATGATAATGCACTTCACACATTGCAAAGATTATTATAGTATTTCTTGACACTAATAAAATTCGGATTATGGACTGGCCACCTCAAAGTCCAGATCTTAATATGATTGAAAACCTGTGGTACATTATTAAACAACGGGTTTTTCAAGCTAAACCCATAAGTCTTACTGATTTGGATTAAATTGTTCAAAAATATTGAAATGACATATTATTATTGATATGTCAGTAGTTGATTGCAAATATGCCATGATTAATTGCAGCTTGTATTGTGGGCTGAAGGAGGGTTAACAAAATATTGATATTAAATAAACATATTGTTTTGGTTATATATTTATAACTTTATTTTAAAAAAAAAATTTTTTTTAAGTAAGTGTCTGTAATAATATGTCCACCCTCTGTATATATCTTATATATTTAATCAGATTACTTAGGTTATTTAAATTGCTTAGATTAATCAAATTGCTTTAATCAATTAGATTGTTTTAATATATTAGTTATATCCAGTAGAAATGTTATATTTATATAATATACTATATATTAAATATATTAAATAACTAATAATAGAAATAATAAGATAATATAATAATCACTAATAATAAACACAAGCTTTATTTAAATAAAAAATATTTATTATTATTACATTAACAATTTTTACAATATGGGAAATTATTTTTGAAGGCGACAAAAATGCTAGATATAATTTTTTCGGATCCAACTTTTAAACAATAAATATATAATATAAATTTTAGAATCATGTCAGAAAATTTCTGGTCTGCCTTCAAAAATAATTACCCATATAAATTAATTGTAGTCTATTGTAACAAATTTATTAAAATCAAATAGCACTTTAAAAGTAAACTTATATTAATAATATTAAATGACTAATGCCTATTTAAAACAATAATATTATTGCTAAAGTAAAAATTGATTTACTGATAACAATGCCTATATATTTAATATATTAAATAACCAATGTTTATTTAAAATAATAATATTATAATGAGAATAAAAATTTTTGTCAATAAAGTTATTAAAGTTTTTTAAAATATTAAATATTTTTTAAATGATATTTGAATTTTGTTAATTAATATTAATAACACTTGTAATTTTATTGGAATTTTTTTTATTGAATTTTTAATAATATTGATATAATAGTTGTTGCTAAATATTTTTTTTATATTTTATATAATATTTTGAAAGTGTAGTTTAAGATTTATTTTTTTTGGAAGAATGTCAAAGGAATTATAAACTTTTATAAAGATATATTAAAGAGTATATTATTTGTTTTTTAAATTAATAAAAAAAAAGATAATTGATTTTATTTAAAATAAATATTTTTTTTTGAAATATCAATAAAGATAAAAAATTTAAGTTTGATTTTTTTTTCTTTAATATAAAAAAACAGTGATAGTATGTAAATATATAATTTAAGTTTTTTAAATAAATATTATAGTATAAATACAAATTATTCTTGTAGAATTAAGAATGTTTTTTGTAAAGCTTGCTTTTGATAGAAAACTGGATTGTTAAGGTTTTTATTCTAAAGATAACTAGGAACTTGTAGTTGAATTTGTCAATATCTTTAGATTTTTTGTTAGACTTGATGATTAGATTAAGTTTGAATAAAGTTTTAAATTTATAAGTTGCAAATTTGTTAAGAAAAATATTAAAGAGATTGATGTAATAATTTGTGAATTTGATCCAGTAGATAATATTTATTGTATAATTATGATTAATTAGTGGTGATATGTTATTAATATCAACTGGTTAAAAAAATCATTTTTTATTAATAATATATATACTATATATAATATATTGTATATAAAATTTTAATAAAATTTTTTCTTTAATTATTTCTTAGCTCTTAGAAATTCGGACATGTATGTATATTGTAGTTCAAGTATTTGTTTTAATTTTTGCTAATGTTTTTTAAATTTAAATGAAATAATTACTTATCAAATTTTTATAAACAAATATAATCCTGATTTTATTTACAACATATTATATATTGTTTTTTAACAATAACCACAACATAAATCTTTTTTATTACAAAAATGAAATTATTTAGTAAAAGTAAAATAATAAATACATATAGTATATAATTAAAGTTTATGTGAATTCAAAAATTAAAATTTTAATAATATAAATAAGATTACTTAATAATAGTATGGTTTGAGAATAAATTATATTGGTTTAAAAAAAAAAATAGTTTATATACAGTAAATGAATTCGTTAATTGTATGGTTTCTTAAATGTTCCTATGTTCTTTAAATAATAAATAGTAAGCTGTAAGTAATCAATTAAAATCTTCGTACTTGACTTTTAAAACTAAATAAACAAACTTAGTGCTTTCGTAAGGTAGTTGTAACTTTCTCGATGAGCCTTCTAATATCAAATAGAATACCATATGATACATTATAAATGCTTTTTCTCGACTCGTAAACCTATATGTTAAGATCGAAATAAGGTAAGGTAAGGTAAGGTCAGCAGTGTATAGGCATCCAAGTATTGGGAGAAACCAAGTGCATACCGGGTATATAACCACAGAATAGGCGCCAAGGATTGCCCAAACAATGGAGATGACAACCCAAAATGTGAAAAACTCGCTTGAGAAAACATATTTCGAGAAATACATTGGAAGTGGCCATATAATTATTAATATCAAGGTTAATATGAAACTACACCAGACAGCAAATCTAAATGATTTTCGTAGATTAGCGCGATCTGGTTCCTGAGGGACTATAGTTCCGTCATCGTCAAGGGTTCGTAGTGCGTTATGCATCTGCTCGAAATCAAAGTTATCAGGAGAGATTAAAGACCATATCGTGGTAACTACCAGCGAAACTAGTAAAGAAGTTCTAAGTTTTTTAAAATAAAAAGAAAAAATAGGATTGATTACATGCTTTCAAAGGAAAGATGTATTAGAGAGAAATACTTACACATTTCCGGCAAGCATGGGATGATTTTTGCCGGTAGATAAGATGGTAATTTCACCATAAATTATCATAGTAGTTCCTAACCAAACGAAAATTCCAGACAGAATACCAATTATTGATGCACCAATAGCAGTCTTTCTACTTTGTTTTCTCCAGGTAATCGTGAAGGTAATAGGAATTACAGCCGGGGAGGAGATGATACCCATTAGTAAGTACAGATATTCAAGTTTAATGTTAGTAGATTTGAGAATAATGGCAAGAGCTCCCATGAAAATGCCGAAGCAAATAATCGAATAACGTGATTGTGCAATTGCTTGTTCACCCGAAGCCTGAAGTGAATAAAAATTTGAATTGATTGGAACACTAATACGTTCTGCTAATGAGAATTAATTTACCATTGGAGAAATATAGGTGCGATAAATATCATATGTATAAATGGATGATACAGCAATAAGTTCAGCGGAGGCTGCAGATCTGTTAAGGTAAAGTATGAATGATCATGCACGAAATACAGTACAGTAGACTCATTCAAATTTTTACTTCACTCACGTGACAGCCATGAAAACCAACACGAGTACAGCAAATGCTCCAGTGTCACCCAAAAGTTTAGAGGCCGCAAGAGGAAGTACCAGGCCAGCAGAAATGTCACTATCTGTTATGTTATCGAATTCACCTTTTCCGGAAAGGGCAACAGCAGAAATACCCATGGTAGTAGCAAGGGTGAACGGAATAGCAAACCATGACAGACCACCAATTAAATACGCCTTGACAACTGACGATGGTCGAGAGGCAATAGCCCTTTGCCAGTACGCATTGTCAACAAATATAGTACCAAAATTACCTATAATGTTTATGATTCCAAATACCAATCCTTGTGAAGAGGACATCGTGAGATAAGAACCCTTTTCGTTGCCTTCTACCGGATTTTTGTGTGAAGCCTGAATCAATAGGTCGTACATTTTTTGTGGAGATCCAATGGAAGACGAGCAGTAGACAATGAATGAAAAAGAAATAATGATTATAAAGATAATAGTGGTGTGTATGTAATCCGTCAAAAAGGTAGCTTTGATTCCTCCAAAATGGGTATAAATTAACACGCCAGCAGGAAGTAAAAAACATGAGGCGGCCACATTGACGCCCGTAAGCGCATTTATAACTGCCGATCCACCAAGTAACAACATAGCGGTTACGATCACTTAAAAAAACACAGATGCTTGATTAACATACTTCTGACAAAATTTTCAAGACAAATCAAATGGCAAATAAGAATATTACTATTTGTTGCCAGAGCGAAGCAAAGAAATACTATGTGTGCAGTTTTTCCGTAACGGACGTGTATGATTTCCAGAAAGGTATGAGCATTTGGAGCTTTACGCTTAAGCTCTATAGCAAGAACGGAGAAAAGTAAAACCTAGTACGGTAGAATACGTATAATGTGATTGTTTACACATTTTCGTCACGCTGTATGAATTGTAAACCTCGCATTCAACACCCTACCTGAACAGTAGCACCAGAAGCATACCAGAAAGGTCTACGCAAAAACAAAATAAGAACATACTGTAATTGTGAGGAAAATATACCGTATACGATACTATATTACAGTTACCCAGAGACACCGTATCTATAAGCAACAGTAGTAGATTGGAGCAATGTAGCGGCCCATGTCCAAGAAGAGACTATGGCAGACGCGATTAGACCAGGTTTTATGGAACGACGAGCTGTCATAAACATTTCACTTGATTCCGATTCTCTGAGATAATGTTTCTGGGCGATAGTTAGCAATATCATAACAATAGTAAAGTATGCACCAAACCCGATAACTATTCAGGTGTAAAAATTAAATTTTTACAGATATTTGCAAGACATTAAAAATAAATTTTCGCGAAATCACAAAAAATTTAATTTATTCTCTACTAAAAAAAAATTTGTCATATTATGTTAAAAATATAGTTTATTACCAATTCCCCATCCGGCGCCTTGACTAAGAAGAGGATCGATCATTTTTATGAAATTAAAGAGTTATAATTCACAGGAATCGCTAGCTATTTTTTCGAAGAATATTTATGAACGTGTTATCTATCGTATCTTTAAATTCCGGAAATAATTTTAAATATCCGTTAAAGAATAGAATTCAAATAATGGCACAATTAAATTCGTTTTTAGTATTATGTATGGATTCGTGACTCTTCCCACATTATTGCGATATACTTTATACGGAAATTTCTTCCAAAAATTCGTGTTACCGTACGTTCTACAATTGTGCGCTTGATCACGGTAATAAACCTTGTTACAATGCATTATCTTCTTTCACAAGTGTCTTTTGACACTCAACATTCGAATTGTGAATTTTAAATGAAGTTCTGTTTTTGCCCTTTGTATATTCTATAACGATTGAAGATACCAAGTCAATGAAATTTCATGGTTCCGAATTTTTTCTTCATTCCTTCATTATGAATAAGATGATTGTTTTTCGGAAAAAAATACAGTATTTCTAAAGAAACATTGTTTTTGTTCAGGATATCCAGTGGAACATGTTTACAACAATGAAGCCTTAAAACTTTATACCACATTATCCTCTCTTGAATTCTCCAATGCCAGGTAAACAACTGCTTGATATACCCTGTTATAAGAATTCTTTCCTGATGACCCAGTAAATGAAGGTTAAATGATTCTATGTACTGTATAACCTCATGAGAAGTATCGCGTCATTCACCTGACTAAATAAACTGCATGTGTTTGCCATACTGTTGTTTCAATTGGGTAAGATCATTGTAATTCATTAACCTCCGAAATAAATTACTGTTATTCGGAAATTATAATTTATTACGTAATTAGATTGCATTTAAATTCGTAAAACTTAAGAATAACGTGAATGTTTTTTTCAACAAAATTTTAATCCTATTTATCTAATACTGTACATTTTTCGTAATAAAAAATTTTGATTATTTTTTTAAATAAAATTTAGGTTATAAAATTTGAAATAATATAAAATTTTAAATATTTATTATTACAGTAAAAATTTTCAAGTTGTGAGCTATAGTTGTATTTATTATTTTTCAGGTTTAGATAATACTGTTGTAGGGAAAAAATGATGGGTAGATGATAGAAAATTATAAGGGTAAGTATATCAGGTATAAATGGTATATCAGGTATAAGTAGTATATCAGGTATAATAGGTATAATAGGTATAAAGTAAAAATGTATATAAGTGACCTGAGAATGGTCAAAAAGTAGAAAGAACCAGAATAGGTACTGCGCAACTGTTAAATAAAAACCACCTTTATTTGATAAACTATTGCCTTGTGATTGACCCCAGCGTCACGTAGCTAACAGAATTGCTGCGCGTGAGGTAACCATTAAGGACACAAGATCGACGGACTGATCTGTGTCAGCATTACGAACTCTAGCCAAATTCACATGCCTCTTTTGAGCAAAAACCACCTCGATCGTTATACGGCGTGAGACAGATCGAAGCGACTGACTCGCTGTGATTTCACCACAACAATACTTTATTAAAGTTAAAGCGTATAATTAATATTATTCCGAAAAGTTTTGTTCTTAAAAAATTAAAAAATATTAGTATTATAATTTTGTAATCACTATAGAATTCTAGTTTAGTATTTATATATTTGTGATTTGGTGGTTTATAATAATATCATTTATCAATCAAATTAATTTATATGGCTTTAACTAATAGAATATGAATATACTGTATATATTTGATTTTGTAAAAAAATAATCAATAAAAGATATTAATATAATCTTTGGTAAGTTTTATATATATATAAGTAATTTATATTATTACATTTAATTTTTGTCCAAGATTATTATTATTTTTTATTAATATTTATTCTTGAAATATTATTTATTCTAGAATCATTCTTGTGTTACCAACTTAATATTACAATATAACGTCTTATGTTATTTTTAATTTATAATATTTACTATTTATTTGTTTATTTTTTACTTATTTATCTTTACCAAAGTATTTATTTCTATATAAATATATACAGTATTAACTGTTCTAATGAATATACTATTTCTTTTTTTTTTGGGGGGGTTTCTCCAGTAGGTAAACATCATTTCTTTATTTTGATTTGTATATAATAAAGTATACATCGTTGAAAGAAACAACATCTCTC